AGCAACACCCGAGCTGTGGTCACGTTGAAGTCCTGCCCTGCGTGCGCAGGCTTTGCTAAACCTGCCCTGCGCACGCAGGCTTTGCTAAACCATCTGCGGAGGACGCAGAGGCAGAACAGCGGTCCCATATTAGTGATATTTCTCCCCGAAAGYGGCTCCCCGCCTCCCCTCGCTTTGCCACGGCAGGGAAAACCGGAAGAGAGAGGGAAGGCTCTGCAGCTGGATGCTGGAGCACGTTCATCTCGTGTTATGGTTGTGCGGCGGGGAGGGAGGAGGCGAAGGGGAGGGAGAGCGAGGGGGAAAGCGAGAGAACTGCGGGTGATTCCTCCTCCCCTGCTCTGTAGTTCCCCACCGAAAAACGTGATCGCAGATCGTGCTTTGCAGCTCTCACCCTCTCCCACAAAAACATGTCCTTGAGTCTGATCTGGAAGGAAGCAGCCGAAAGTTTGCTAAATATACAACAAAGGATTTCGCAGACAAGAGGGGCTCCCTGCTGCATTAGAGTATCTAACGAGCCGTGCACATGAAAGCCACAGGGAAGGAGAGAACCTGTCAGGTTGAAGGGCTGCGAAGACAGACTAACAGCGTAAGATTAACACAGTGCAGACATCCCCTCTGCTCCCTGCCTGGGCGAAGGGTCTGCAGCAACAGCCCTCTGCAGGCTAAATAGGCGACACGTTTAGCGCTGTAAAGGGCAGTTTGGAAGAGCAAACCTTTTCTGGACSGCTCGTGTGGGGAATTATAGCAGCCAGCACTTCAGTTAGTTTTGCATTGCAGATGGCAAGGTAAAACCCAGGCTCGGTTGTTGTCTAAAATCCAGGGTCCCTGTGTGCATGCCTTGTATTTTGCAAGTGCCTTGTATGCATGAGAAGTTAAAATGAAAATCTCGATCAGACAGCTTGTCTGACTGAGGTGGTTTGGAAATGAGGTATGATTTTCAAGAAAGCAATACTAGTTCTTATTAATAATTCATATTAGTGGTAGATAAGGGAAGTGAAAGAGAAGTTATAAACTGTTGTTTTGATTAAGGCACCAGCACTGCAAAATCCTGGCTAGCTTTGGATGCAGCCCAAAAATGCTTTGAGGAGAATTTTCAGAATATCAGCAGGGATGAATTTGGCTCCTTTTATCAAAAGTCTGGGAGGAAATTGCAGTGAGGGCAAAGTAAAATGCAGCATAACTTAGGAAAGAAGGATAAGGGATGGAAAAGGAAGGAGGGGGAGGATGAGATGCTTGTAGGTTTCCAGTGAGAAAGCTGGATTCGGTTTAAGATTAATTTTCAAGCTCTGCTGCAGCAGAAATCACATATTTTAATAAAACAAAATAGGGCAGGATTATTAAACAGATTGTGAATATCACCCATTAAGCTTCAGGCGTACAGCTATCTTTCCTGCAGTTATTTTTAAAAATGAGTAAGAGAAGGCAGATATTTTTTGTCGTTTAGGAGTGCAGATGCCTCTATCCCAGGAGGTGCAGAGGAGGGCAGCCTTTTGCACCACAGCACTAGGATTTCTGTCGCAATAAGCGCTACTAAGCACTTTTAGCAGATTCTCCACCGTGGAGCATCACAAAAAAAAAAGAGCAAAAAAAATCACAAAGAGTTTATTGACTCTATCAGATAGTATTTAAACACTCATTTCACACTACGTACCAGAGAGCTGTAAGAAGTGAAGCCTAAAAATGAAGTGGGAGGAGAGGGAAAAAAAAAAAAAGACGGAATTTGGTCTAAGAATGATTCAGCTGCCTCCTAATTATTCAGGCAGATATTCAGCAAGCTGAATGACTAGTCGGTGTGGGCAGGTCCGTGCACCAGGCGCCGGCAGAGGCGCTTTGCTGCGCGGGCTCTCGTGCTGCGGCCGGGGCCCACGGAGGCAGCGGAGGCAGCGGCTGCAGCCCCGGGCAGCGAGGGAGCTCCGGCCTTTGCTCTGCCCGCGCTGGCAGTGGCACTGTCTGCCTGCTGGCACCGTCACCCTCAGCCCCCACAGCACCCGCCGGGGTGCTGCAAAGCCGTGCTYTAAGGCAGCTAGACAGGCAAAACACCCAAAGGCTTCTCGGCCACCACGTCCTGGCTGCTCCCGCCTCCCGGCTTCTCCTGGAGCCTGCTGTAATGCRGGGATTGCCTCGAACTCCTCCACTTCCCCGTGCCTTTCTGGGTTTTACCTGTGTGTTGTTTATCCAAATAGAGCTCATTTGTACTTGAAGTTTGTAGAAAGGAAAGAAAAACTGATTGATCTAAGGGAAAGAGAGGAAAAAAAAGAGAGGGGAGGTGGTAAGCAGGGAAGGTTCCTGCTTTGGCACTAAGCGTTTCTTAACCTCTCTGATTTCTGCCTTTTCACAGCCCTAGGGGCTGAGGTTTACCCTGGTCTGCAAAGGCCTGTGCAAATGGGGCAGCTTGAGGACTGAGCCCTGTGTGCCCAGTTCCTAACTACTTTATGTCTTCACTGATGTTTATGTAACTACTGAATTTTGACCATCAGTGGCAGTTGCATCAACTTGCTGCAGGCTACTTCTAATTAAATTTGAGGCAATGGCTAGGCCCAAGTTACATGTTTTTTTCTCCTGCATTTTCAGGATAGACAGTTAAGCTTTGAGCTTTTTTCAGTACTGGTCTGATAAGGCACTCCAGTTTAAGACAAGTCTAGATTCCTCTGAGGCTTCTGCTCAAAAGCAGAGAAAGAAATTGAAAATATGATTTCAACATCAATTCTCTGAGGTAAGTTCCCAGAGATATCCTGATCATCCTCAGACTGGATCCCCGGACYTATTTTGGTACCTGAGTCCCAACCAGCTGCCTAAACAGGACCTTGGAGCTAAATTTTTGGTTAGTCTGGGCTTCCATCGCTCACCCCACCTCCTGCTGCCTTGGTTGGTTGTCTAGCCACTCGTGACACGGRTTCAATGGAAAAGATGGAGAAGACTTAATGATAATGTTCGTTCATTTTCCCATGTGAAGGGCAGGTTAGTGCAAAACTCCCTTTCCTGCAGGCTCCCAGAACCGCTGCCTGGAGAGGCTGTGTGAGAAGCAGCGAGAGCAGCTCAAAGGTACAACTGAGTCATTTCCGGCAATGCCAGGCTTGGAGCAAAGTGTAAAGAAGAAACAGCCACAACATAATTGAGTCCCAGGAGATCGTACTTTGGCATGGTTGGAAGATATGACTGGTCTGGGATCTCCAGGAGCTTTGCCAGTGGGAGCTAAGCTCAACAGAGCATGGGATGGAAAGTGGATGAAAAACAGGCCGCTGTCCTCCAAGCTGAGCTGGGTGAGCTGCCGACCAGGAGCACCCTCTTATCACAGAGCCAAAACAAGGGCAAAATCCCCACGAACTGCAAACAGAGCACAGCGGGAGCACGGAGCCTGGGGAGATGTCTAACGACATGAGAGGGCTCCACATTCCGAATGAAATCTGTAGTGATGTGTTACCAAGATGCATAATAAACTGCTCACATTACTAACGYGAGGAGAAGGCTCGGTGTGAGTCTCAGTAGGCAGGGAGAGGTGAGCGAAGCCAGTGTGCAGGGKAAGGAATGAGGGGAAAGGAGGAGTAGGATCATTGGTTTGGTATTTTGTGGAGGAAGGGGGTTCTTACACATATCCACCTGTGGGCATATGACAGAGACAGCAGCTAAGGGTTTTTTATTATTATTTTTATTATTGAAAAATAATCTCTACTTTAAGGTAGGAAGGGAAAGGGGCTGCAGCTCCAAGTGCCTTAGAGCTTAGCAAAGGAGGGTAAGAGGCTTTCCCTTCCTCCTGTTCCTCCTGTCAACAGGACACCAATATTGACACCAATAAAAAAGAATTTAGATCAATTCTTCAACCAATTTGTAAAACTGATACACAAATTTGTCCTCTTAAAGCACATTTAAGTGGTGTTTTCCAACAGATTGAATAAAATGGACCACTCTTTAACACCAAAGTCTCCAGTTCATTTTTGCATATAACTTTTCTGTGAGTATGAAAGTACAACAGTGCAATGCCAATATATTTGCAATTCCCCACATAATTTGGCCCAGATGCTCTATTTGACCACTAAGTGAGTGCCAAATAATGTGCCGGTTTAACTGTACTTAAAATGTAGTTGTATTTGGGTCTACAGCACTCTCTTATAGGAAACAAGGACTATTTAAAACTGTGAGTAGACTTTTAGAACTTMAAAGAGCAATTCAGTCTGTGTTTGCAGGCTTTGAAATCGATGGAGCTCTGATGAGTTCAACAAGCTGGCTGGTGATTTTTAACAATCTACCTGGCAGCGAGGGCATGGATATTCCTTCCCTTCTTGTTATAATTGCCACCTACATGTTTCTGATTGGTGTGAAGTGGTGCAGCACCACTGAMTTTGTTCGAGTTGTGCACATTTTTAACAACTAGGGTAAATATGATTTAAGAGAGGAAATAGAAACTTCACAGATCCTGAAGCCAGAGACAAAAATAAAAAGCAAGGAGGAGCAGCCCTCCTCTTCCCAAATATTGGTCTCAGTCTGGAAGACAGGCAGCTCCTGGGCTCCCCTGCAGAGCTGGCGTTTCAGCAGAGCGGCTTGTCATTGCAAACGGTGCGAGCCACAAGAGACAAAGATCTTCTGGAGATGCTGGCCCAGGCTGGTATGAAGGCAATAGCTGCCGTGTTAGATCATGCCATCAGGATTAGAGATTTCCTCTGACAGCAGCACATGTGATGCCACTTCTCAGGCCTTTTACAAGGAGAACGATGAGCTGTTTCCCTGGGGTCTCAGTGCAGTTCCCACTACCTGCCTGAATGAAAGGCATTGGCAGGGACAAACCAGCTGAGTTTTTAGACTTCAATTTTTAACACCTGGGCTCTGATTTGCTCAGTTCCCACTGAGATGCCTCCTGGTGCTCAGCCCTTCCTTGCACAGTTAAAAAGGCAAGTGGGAGAAGTAGCCTCTTCTGCTGGGGAGCTTTCCCTGTGCAAGCCTTGACCTGGAGGGATGAGTTTGCAGCACAAGAAAGTGCCATGAGCACCAAGTCTGTTTCTCTTGCTGTTTTCTTTCCTTAGAGTGTGTGGGAAGGTGTTGACTGCTAGTAGGTCTAGTTCCTGCTCCTCCTCTAAACTGGGTCATCACAATTTACCCTCCTACCTCTTGTGAGTTTTTTTTTTTCCTCTCTCCCCTTTGATATATCCTTCTGCAGCCCTCCTTCCTATCCCCTTCTTCCCCTTCCCCCCATTTCTTCCATATGATGAGCAGAAGGAAAGTAGGTCACTTCATAATTGCTCTCCTCTATTTCAGAGGAGCCCAGAGGCRTAAAACAGAACAAACAGGTAAGTGTCACCAATTCAGGGGAACTTAAAAGATGTTTTCCTCTTGGCTGTCTCCTATGCTTGCTTTACCTCATCTTTTTCCTTTCCTTCCAGAACCCTGATGTAGCAGCTAGTCCTGCTGTCTGATCACGTAGTTAAAATTCAAGTTGAGGCTAAGTGACTCAGGAGATGGAAGTGAGGTTGGTGGGGTTGATTTTTTTTTCTTCCTAGCTGTTATACTCAAATTTTTATACTAAATGGAGTGACAAAACATGCCAAAGGAGATGGGTTGTACCTAGATATGTAAAGGAGGGAATGGAACAGTGTAGTTGTAATATTTCACAATAATCTCAGGCACCTATTAAAAAAAAAAAAAAAAAAAAGAAAGAAAATAATTAAAGTTTTCTCCCATCATATTAAGAACCTGTGTTTGGGAGGTGTTGTCTTCCATGAAGTGGGACCGATTTTTTTTTTTCCTGCTAGCCTGAAAGACAACAGAGATGCGCAGCCCAGCCAAGTGTGTGAGCATGTGTGTTCATTAGCCTAGGCTTGGTCCCGGGGACCATCCTTACCCTTGGGTCTCGCTCGATCAGGCCATTGCCCACTTCTCTCAGTGCAGAGCTTAATGTTGAGCTGAAGGGATCTCTGAGGGATGAGCTGGAGCCTGGATCCAGATGYGAACGGAGTTCTGGGGTCAGGGAGCTCAAAAGCCAGCAGTGCTGGTGGGGCACATGGGCCTCATCTCTTTTCTGGAGGCCACAATACGCAGTTGGAGGCTCTGTGCTGCATGCCCAAGCTCCAGGTTAAATTGCCTGGCTCTCCCTGGATGTCAGGCAGGCTGGTTTATGCTGCTTAGGAAGCCTGCAAGCGTTCATTGTGGGTCTGAACCAGTGTCCTGTACCTACTTGGGTAGGAGTGCCTGGTAACTTCTTTTGCTCTAGTCTTTACCTCCTTGTGCAAGCAATAGTATTTTCTCCTTGGCAAATTTTACTGCCTTGTGCAAGCAATAGTATTTTCTCCTTGGCAAATTTTGCTCTTGCTCCCTGTACGGACTGGTGGGACAGAGCAGGCACTAAGAGAGGGGCAGAGCTGCCCCCAGCTCTGCTAACGAGCAGCTGGGCCCTCTGCAGAGTCACTTGACCAGAGCCTCCCTCTCCTCCCTCCGTTAAGCTTGTAAATATTTTTGTTCTCATCTGTTGTTTACTCTGTATCCATCCACCCCGCGCTCAGCGCAGTGGGATCTGTACCGCCTTTGTTTCCCTGCTCTCTGCTTTACCTCCCCAAGGAGCGCTCCAAGAGCTGGGAATTACCCCGGGGAGAGGTTTGTGTGTGCTGGGGGAAAGGGAGGATATAAGCAGGCTGATCCTCTTCTTTCTGTCACCAAGGGCTTTGGGGAGCGCTGATGCGTCTGTTTAATCCCTGCCCAAAAGGGGACCACATCAGATGGGGAAGCTCCTCGAGGGGAATMGCAAGTCTCTGCTGGGCCTCGATGTCACCTCTCCCTCACGAGGATGTGTAGAACGATGCAGATGGCTCAGAGGAGGCTGGGTTTGCACTGCACAAGGGAAGGCTTTAAGGAAAAACAGCCAAAAATTTAGCGCAAAGCTTAACCCTCGTGCTCCTTCAGCTTCCACATACGTAGCTGTGTGTCTTACTAACAGGAGCAGGGTTAGGAGCAGGGTTCCTCACCATGATTTAAGGCAAAAAAAGGCTTCTTTTTTAATGCATGATCATAATCTAGCAAAAAGACTACCTCATTCTGTGGATTTATGGGTCAGCCTCTTTATATAACTGAATTGGAAACAATGATTTCTCTATTTTTTGCCCCAAAGCTTAAATGTGAGTGATGCTGTCCTGGAAACTCCCTGAGAGTTATTTCAGTTTTTCCTCTTCCACACCACAACCTCAGCCTTAAGTATTCTGCAATATTTTTTTTCTTAATGGAGATATTTGCTGAAAATGGGGAAGTGAGGGGAGCTAATCTGGTAAGAACTCCTGAGCATCTGAACAGGGAATAGTATTTCCCTTCCCTTCCTGAAAGCCTGATAAATAAATCACTCAAAATATTTTAAGGAAYCTGCAGAAATCTCTAGCTGTCCCCATCCACTTTAAACTGCTAATATCTTTGACATGCTTATTTGTTTAAAAAAAAATACACAATGTGGACTCTTGAGTAATGAGCAAGCCTTGCTGTCATGTGAGCTCTGTGAATAATATGAAACCAAATGTGAGAGGCTGAGCTTAATGTTTCATCTATGTTGTTGTTGTTAGTGTGATTATTACTTTGCCTTCCTCCACTTTCCACACGTATTGAACACTTGACTGTGATGGTAGTTGACAACCTTCACTATTGGGAAGCCTGGTCCTGGCCAGGCAGGGTGTACTGGGGGTCGGGGCCCARGTATGTTAGCTCACTGCAGAGCAAACGTTGAGCTTGGCTCCTTGCCCTGAGCTCTTGCAGCTTAGGAGAAGATGGGAGAAAAAACAGAATTGGAGAAAATAGCGGTCCAATCCTAAATAGAAGGAATCTGTCTGTGAGCCTGTAGACAGCTTTGGTCTAAGGGAGGATATGAATTGCTATCAGATCATTTAAAAATAGTTCCTTAGAGATTGTTTCCTGGGCAGGAAAGCTCCTATTACTTGGTGACGGCCTGAGCAGCCGCCCACAAGCCAGATCGTAGCGCTCTTGCCCATCAAAAACAGGGCAGAAATAGGGCTCCTTAAGAGGAGCCTCTCAAGAGGCTGCACAGACCTGGATGCTCACTGCCATGGACCTTGTTAAGCCCATTGCAGCCCTTATTAGCAGGGCTGGCTGCCTTCTCAGCCACTGTCAGGGCCCAGGGCTGTCTCCTCCCTTTGTAGCCTTGGAGCTGGCCTGTGGCATCTCTGTCTTGTTGACTAACTGCTCATGTTAAAAACACTCATACAGAGGCAACAAGAGGCCAGGGCTCTCTTGCTCATCTCCCATCCCCGTTCCAAAACAAGAGGATGAGGTTAAGTGACATGGGATGTAATAAATTAATGATGTATTTGACCACTTCATTGTTCTTCCTGCAGCTAAAGCAATGGTCCCTCAACCAGTGCTCACCAGTTACATCTTCCTTATGACCACAGCAATGGGCTGCTGTGTTGATCTGGGTGAAAGGAAGATGGAAAACAGGCTGTTGCCTCTGACACTGCCTGCTGTGGGTTGGTGGGTGCTGCACTAGACAGGAGGCTGCTACTTCACTGGTGTGACTGGATGGAGGAGTCTCAGGTGCTTCTCACCAGCCAGCCTCAACCTTGGTGGATGGGAAGGCACAAGGGCAGAGGGCCCTGAAGTGGAGCTTCTATCAGCACCATGCTAACTGGCTGTGAACTTATTTCTGCTTTCCAGATATCCCTTTTGCTTTCACCTGCTACAACATGCTGCAAGGCTGCATGTTCCTGTAGGCTGATCTTCCAGCTGTTTTGCATCTGCCCACATCTATTCCAGCTCAAGGGTGCCTGAGGTATTCCCTTATTCAACACAAGAATAGAAAGCTGGGGCAGCTTTGGGGAATGTGCAGAGCACAGGGTCTGTGCTGGCCCTGTGCTAAGAAGGACTAGGAGCTCCTGATGCAGAGCCCAAGAGAGGCAGCTGAGCATTTTCAGCAAAAATCTGATGGTATCCTCATGTCACCAGCCCATTTAAATCAGTGAGGAGCACTAGTTCACTCACCTTAGTTATGTCATGGTAATACTGGAGTCCCTCCCTTTCCAGGTCACAGTGGGGAAGGGAGAAGCTCAGTAGTATTAAAATGAGCCAGAGCTGGCAGCCTAACGGGGGAATCCTGCTGTGTCTTGGTTGTTTGGGGGAATTTTTGTTGTTATTTTTCCCTGCTCAGGGTCCCAACTCTGATGCCAAGGGCAATTTCCATTTCTCAGCAGTCCATAGAAAATATTGTGGGACTGGATGCCTCCCAGCACCTGATATGCTTCAGTGTTAACTTTTGTTCTGTTCTCACCCCAACCTTTTCCATGCGGGCCCATCAATGGCTCTGAAATTTGTGATCTGAGACCTTGTTGGAAGTGATCTGTTCCTCTGTGGTGTTCACAGGATTATGAGCTGATGAGGTCTTTGGCTCTTGTTTGAAATAGCTCAAGGGGGACAATTTATATATGCTGCAAGGTCCACCTCTGTTTTTCCTTATGCTTGCCTTATTCTGTGAAAACGGTTGTGTGTATAGAAAGAAGTGTCAGATCTTTCCCCGTGGAAGTTTTAGAAGTGCCACTTCACTATGTGAAATTCTGGGTGTGGGGCTGTCTTGTCTTGTTTTATTTTTGCACTGCATTCAGCTTTCTGCTCTGGCCAGGCAAGGAGAGCTTGAGCCTGGTGGGTGCTGAGCAACTGCACTAACAGAAACCTCCTCTGCCCCTCTCTGCATGTGATAGGTCTGCTCAAGGAGCAGCCTCAACAAGGCACACCCTCCAGCAAAACTTCATACCTTTCCCTAAACAAGGTGAGAAATTTGGCCAAGCAACGTCCCAAGTCGCTTTCCCACAAAACTGATTTGGATGTAAAAATATCCTCATCACAGCTTGTCTTTCTGACCTGCCCTTCAGCACTGGGATGCTCATGCTGCCTTTGCAGCCATGCCCAGGTGTGATGCAGAGGCCCCACGTGGCAGTCCCAAGGCCATAGCCCTGCAGCCYGGCACTCTGTGACCCTTTCAGCAACCCAATGGGCATGAGAGGCGAGCAGGGAAGGGCCTGGACGGGGCTCCTGGGATTTTTGCTTCATTTTGGAGTGTTTCCTGGCTCCTGAGTCAGCTGGCAYGCAGCCCTGCTGCCTGGGGTATGTTCACTGCTCTGTCTGCAGGCTGGAGCCTCTCTGCAGAACGTACCCTTCAGCCCAGCTAAGCTCTTCTGCACCATTCAAAAAGAGGAGAAAAAAAAAAAAAAGAGGAAGGGGGTGGAAAATTAGGCAGGTCTGCAGAATCAATCATGCAAAAGCAGAAATAGCTTTGCATTGGAGCCAAGGTCCTTTCAAGGCAGGAATCATTCATTTGGGAGGCTTCAGCAGTGTTGGGTGTCAGCTACRTTCAGAACGTCAGCTATTTGTGAATTCACTGGGAGTCTACCCCCAGATGTTCACTTCTCAAAGGAATTAAAAACAGTCCCTTTGGGGTGTCCTTTACTTGCTTTCTAGCTTTCAGATACC